CCTGGCGCATGCAAGCTTTTCCGGTTGCAGTCGTACTTCTACGTCCACTTTTATCCCCAACCTTACGGTTGGCGGCTCAGATTCACGGCCTGCTAGTCGTCGAGACGACACTTTCGACTCGACATGTCTCCACTTCTCTTTGTCACCTGAGGCTGCTGGGCACCGGCAGACTACAACCTCGTTGCCAACCAGTCGAGCCAGTGGGGCACAATTATCGACTTCCAGCAGCTCGGTATCATTAACCGGCCCGCCTCCGTCACTCCTCACCTCCACGTCAACCCAGCCCTTCCCGTCCCCAGCCGAATCGCCAGTTGGCGGTGGCCTCTTCTGCCAGTCTTGTGGACAATCGGGCTTCCTATTTCCCGGCCAGCTTTTGAGTCACATGAGCCAGTGTCCCAAGATGATTATGCTGCTGCCCGTCGGCAACGCTCGAAATCCGGCCACATCATCAGCCAATCTGAGCAACCCTTTGGTGTCGGTTACATCATCTGGCTTCTCCCTTCACACCACAACTCCGCACTCCTCTTGCTCTCTTTCCGCTGCTTCTGCCTCCAACTCTTTGGCATCGTCGTCGTCCTCCACTACCGCCTCCCAATTTGGCGCACAATGTCTCTTCCCGCCGGGATGTCTCTCCTCTCAGGCAGCACACCAATCGGCCCCAACACTACCCTCATCGACTGGACTTTTCCCATCTAGCTTCCTCACCTCGGCTGGGTTGAATTCCTTCCTTTCATCAGTTTCTTCCTCTTCTTCTTCTGCCGCTGCTGCTGCTTCTTCGTCGTCGTCGTCTTCTTCCTCTTCTTCACCTCAGACGGTCTTTCCTGTCTACTCTCAGGCCCACCTGAATGGCATCAGCTCGTCGTCTTTTGCCGCCTCCTGCTCAACTCCCTCCTCCATTGGTCTCTCTTCAACAACCCTCTCCGGAGGTCATCATCTGGCCTCGCTTTCCGCCATGCGCACCATGCAAGCACCCATTTCCTCCTTTCTCCATTCGCCTCACGTCTCCGTCCCTTCGTCGACCTCCCTCCTGCCAATGTCACTGCCGTCACTGCCACCCCCACCACTCGCAGTCTCGACGGCCCTTCAATCCTCTGGCTGCCACCTGCCCGGCGGGTTACCGTTGCCATCTCATCTCAACCTTTCGCCTTCACACACTCCCCCGGCCCATCACCAGCATCAACATCAACAGCACCAGCAGCATCAACAGCATCAGCATCAGACCCATCTACACACTCTGCATCAGGTCGGTCAGACCCTGACGAGTGTACATTCGCATCACTTTCCGCCTCAGCTGCAGCATCATCAAGCCCCTCTGAAGGGCACCTCCTCATCGTCTACATCACTTCTTCTATCGCACGGTTCATCTTGTTCAGGCAAAATGAAATCGCCTTCCAGCGGCAACCCACTCAAAGCCCTCCATCCGACCGGCCTTCACGAGGCTGGCTTGATCAACAGCAACAGCAACAATAACAACATCTCGGCCGATATGACGAGTCCCGCCCATCCTCCGTCACTACATCCACCTATCCTTGATCCAAACGACTTGAATGCCCCACCGCCTGACCTGTCGCGACCATTTCGTTGTTGTCATTGTGTCAAGTCGTTCAAGTCGAAAGCGCTACTTGACCAACACATGCACATTCACTATCCTCCCAAATACACATGTCGATATTGTGCCAAGAAGTATCGTTGGCCACCGGTTTTCTACCATCACCAGCGCACCTGCAAAAAACGTCCACCTACTGCTACCGTCACGACAGCCGGTGGTGCTAGTGGAGGGAGCATGTTGGGCGGTATCAACACACTGACAACTTCGGTGTCCGGAGGTCCATCGTCTGTATCCACACCGATGCACCACACCTCGTCACAGCATGACGTCATCTTGCATCTTGACAGCCTGACAAACAGTCACCTTCATCATCAAACTCATTCCACCCCTCTTCCG